TCTAAAATATTGATTATCTGGCTCTTTATAGAAAAAGGCTGCAGCTGACTCCTGATCTAGTGGGTGCACAAGACACCTGGAAAAGCTAAGTTATTCAGTATAGCAAAGTCAGAGGAATTTGGGGTAGGGTCCTGGGAACATGGGGAAGGTAAAGAGGAAGAGGTGGATCTTAGGGCAACGGGGTGCAAACCCAAATGTCTAGAGGGGCTGGAAGTTAAAGTAAATGAGTGCAGTGGGCCAAATGGAAATTTTAGTGAATAGAAGCCAGGAATCAGCTGGTCCTGGCTCCACTTGATCGCTGATATGTGAGGAAATAAACCAGCCAAATATTGGCAAACCATCTGACTTTTTCCAAGAGAAGCTGGAAATCTCGCACTGTTAAAATGTGAGCATCTAATTCAATTTTGAAAAGCAGGTCTCAAGACAGGCTTCAGTTGGTGATCACCAAGTTTAACTTCTGGTCTAGAAAGTAGGGAGGACTCTCCATGTTAAAATGGGATGAGCAGGATGTTTAGAGCAGTGGTTCTCAACCTTGGCTGCACATTAGAATTACCTGGGAATCTTTCTAAAATCCTGATTTCTGGGCCTCATCCTCTGGAAATTCTTTGTTACTAATTCTTTGTTTCTTTGTTACTAATGTTGTGGCCCCACCCCATAACAAAGAAACAGAATTTCCGGAGGATGAGGCCCAGAAATCAGGATTTAAAAAGGTTCCCAGGTGATTCTAATGTGCAGCCAAGGTTGAGAACCACTTATCTAGGCTAAAGGGGCAAGGAGGGGGCATGTACTGAGACGAGGAAGAGCCATACCTATAGGAGTGAGCTATTTCAAGAAAACCATGGATTTTGGGAGACACCAAGGGGAGTGAGTCCCCCAACCACTCTCTTCCCTGAACCTCCTATCTCTTGCTGGTACCTCCCTTTGCTGAACCCAGCCAGTAATCAGAGGGCATGAGAATGGGGTTGCTGTAGTACTTAGAAGTCAATGCCCAACATCACCACAAGAAAGCTCAGTAAGTGAATCTTGACATTGCATCTGCATTGTCAATGGATGGTTGTTAGTACCAATTCAATGAGAATCTCCAATTTGGGGTGCAGTAAGAAGGAAACTCTATTTAATGCAAAACAGCTCATTGTGATACAGCACAATGTGAGGTGTGAGGTGGCCCTTGGGTCAGACCCCTAAATAGTCTGCTCTTCTCCTCACTCATCTGCTTTGTTCTGTGCCAGTCGGCTCTGCCTGTGCTGGTCTATCCCACTCCACTCCAGTGAGACATCTTCTGAGTTTCAGCTCCAGCCAGGGAAACACAGTTTTTGGTGGAAACAGAAAGTGTGCTCTCAGGGACAGAGGAAAGCAGATTTATATAGACGGAAGTCCCTGCCCCTGGTCCCTGATTGGCCTGTCCTCATGCAAATGAGGACTCCAAATCCTCACCATTTAATTGTTCCAAAGACATTGTCCTTATTGGTCTGAGCCATTCGGATTGGTTGGTGAAGAAGCAGGTGGGGATATAGCGGCACAGCTCTGATTAGATGGGAAAAGCCTCAGTTCTATTGGTTGAAATAGAACTTCAGGAATTCCTTTATAAGGGCTGGCTGAGATGGCAGAAACACCATACAGGCAGGCAGTTCAGGGCAGAGGCAGGTAATTCAGTGCAGGTTTTTCCCTGAAATGCAGTTTACATGAGAGTTTCCTGTGTAAAAATGGCTGCTAGGCTGTTTTTGTTTGTTTTTAATTTAAGCCCAGTTAGCCACTAGCTGCTCTTTTTAGTGGGTATTTTCTTTCTCCGGATTCACAATATTAATATATATATATATATATTATTATTATTATTATTATTATTATTATTATTAGGAACACCGGGAATTATGTGATTCATAATTTGGAGAAAAGATTGAATGAAAGTTTCTGCAGTAGTGGCATTTGAGACCTTAAATGATGAGTAGGAGATTCCTAAAAGAAGAATGAGGTGGAGAGGCATTCTAGAGAGAGAATGCATAGAGCAAAGGCCATAATACTAAATGTATGGACTATAATTTGGAAAAGCTGGTGGTCTGGTGTGACTAGACTGTAGGAACTTGGTGAAGAGGAAGGGACATGAGCTAAGCAAAGTAGAATGAGAAACCCCTGATGGCCATGCTGGGGAGTTTCTAGGCCAGTGGTCCTCAAAAATGTGGACTGAAGACCATTAGCAGCAGCAGCAGCAGTTGAAACTTGTTAGAAATGCAAATTCATGGCCCCAACTTCACACCTACTGGGTCAGAAACTCTGGGGATAGGTCTTAGCAATCTGCATTTTATTGAGTCCTCCAATGATTCTGACACAAGATCAAGTTTCACAAGCACTGCTCTGGGCATTAGAGAATCACTAATGGCATATCATCAGAGGAGTGATGAGATCAGAGCTATTTTTCTCAAAAAAATAGTTTGCAGTAAGAGGAGGAAGGGAGATGGGGACAGAGAGAGTTTTATGTGGGTATTTTAATCATTCTGGTAAGAGAACTATGAAAATACCAATGGGGTAGTGAGATTTGAAGTGAAGGAGAGGCAGGACTAGTGATGATGGACATGTAGGCCAAGAGGGGGAAGCCAAAGGTGCCACTAAGACTATATATCAATGTACTATTACTGTGATATATTTTATATTACCTGTTGTTTTCCCAGGAACTAAAACTAAGTTTCCTCCTCTATAAAATCAGGCATTTCAACATCATTTCTGCAGTCCTTTTCGACTCCTATGCCAAGCAAATAAAGCTGTGGAGTGATCTGCTGTGTCTTTTCAAAGCAGTGGTTGGAATGATAACCCATGGCATTGCACTGTATCACATCTCAGTTGGCCTCACTTCCCTTTTTGTTTGTCCTGTCTTCACTGACCTGGGTTTGCACCTCCCAAACAAGTTGCTAACAAGTTGCTTGATTTTTGCCTAAGGATCTGTTTTGGAGGACTCAGAACCCAATCAATAGAAAAGAAAATGGTATCCAACTCCCATATGGCAATGAAAGCAAAGCCAGTACTACACTACAAGATAAATGTAAGAAGTAGCACAAAGGTTTGATTTTCCTGCTGATTGCTTTGATGCTATCTGTGATGTTGTAATTTATAATAGGAAATTTATAATATGTATTTGGTATTTGTCCCAGTTTGTGGCACAGACCTAAGATCCTTGGACTTTCCCGAAAGCTGAGAGACCATAAAGATGTATTTTATGTTAATGAGGTGACTTGTTATGTTACAGAAAAACCAGAGAAGAACCAAGCAACACTCAGAGAGTTTGGAGTTACACTTTATTCACCGAGGTGGGCTTAGAGAAAATGAATTCAAATTCTAAGCAGAGCTACAAGCAGAACTTCCCTTTTTATGAAAAGAGCCAATCCTATGTGTGCTTAGTGGTTATCTTGCTGGTGGCCTTGAAAACTACACAGTTCTATCCAATTGAAAAAATGCACCCTGCATGGCATTGGGCGTATCTAGTCTCTGGCCTACAAGGTCAGACAGCTAAGTTTATCTCCCTCAGTATTCAAACAAGCTGAAGCAGGCTAGAAAGCAAAGTTATTTTTTTAGAATAAGAGGCCGTCTAAAGCCGAAACCGGTTTGGCTTGGTGGATAGAGCGTCGGTCTGCGGACTGAAAGGTCCCAGGTTCGATTCCGGTCAAGGGCATATACCTGGGTTGCGGGCACATCCCCAGTGGGAGGTGTGCAGGAGGCAGCTGATCAATGTTTCTCTCTCATCGATGTTTCTAACTCTCTATCCTTCTCCCCTCCTCTCTGTAAAAAATCAATAAAATATATATAAAAAAAAAAAGAGGCCGTCTAAAAAATAGCAGAGAATTCCAAACAGTTGTTTTACAAAATAGGGGTTAGCCTTCACAGTTATAACGAGGTTGTTATGGAATTGGCTTGGAAGAAGGGACAGTTGTACACTTGGAGGTTCAGGAAAGTAAACCTTTATTCAAAGCTGCGCTGCCAGTTCAGGGGACTTAAAAATCCAGATCCTGAACCACTTAGACAATGAGATTTTCTCCTTATATATTTCTGAGTTTCTTGTTTCCTAACTACCAAGCTTCTGTAGTGAACTCACACAGCCCCCCTCGAGTCAGTTAGATGGTTAACTTAGATTGTATCTAATGTCCATCCTGGATGGCACCAGTGACCTCCCTCTAGTTAACCTGTTACATCCTTGGTGTATGGCTCTTGTAAATTGGAAGTATTTAGGTAAATAGGTCTTGCAAGACCAGATAATTAAGGATGGGGCAGTGACTTCATTATAGGCTATCAGGAATGTGCATTAAGGATACTGATTAACCAGGTACAGAGTCCGGCTGCTAGTTTCCTACATTCTTTCACAAATGGAGTAAATTATCGGCTAGCAAGAGTGTGCACTAGAAGGCAGGTTACTGGAACAAATTCAGATTGCTAGCTCCCACAAAATGTCTTATGCTCCCCATCAAGGTGACTAAAAATGGGATCTGGTTACCAGAGGAGCCAGCCACATGATTAGAGGGTTGGAACTTTCAGTCCCACTCCCTGACATCTGGGGAGGAGAGAGGAGCTGGAAATGAAGTTGAATCACCAATGGTTGACGATTTAATCCACCATGTCTTTGTAGTTCAGATGGCAGGGAAGCTCCATGCGCTTTCCTACATACCTTGCCCTGTGCATGTCTTCCATCTGGTCAGTCATTTCTGAGTTTTATCCTTTTGTAATACACAGATAATCTAGGGAGTAAATTGGTTTCCTGAATTCTGGGAGTCACTCTAGCAAATTAGTTGAATCCAAGGGGTGGGGTCGTGGGAAGAAGAGAAGAGATGAAACTGCAGCCTACACTTACCTTTGTAGTACTCTGTGTTAAGGAGGAAAAATATTAAGAAATGTGATTTTTCACAGCTTAAAATGATAGCAATGGAGTCAAAAGTAGTTTTGTTGTACACTGTGTTGTAGGAAACCACCAGAATCTCAACCTAAGGAAAAAGAAAAAAGGAGTAGGGAAAGAACACAGACCATCTGTTCCTAATATTTAAATTTATTTAAAGCAGATACAGCCGATAATACCTCACACAGAGCAAAAACAATAATCTACAGGCTCACCAATCACTCACACCATTAAGCTGCCTATGCACACACTACATTGTAATCAAGAATCTAGACCTAAGCAGGAACCAAACTTTTGTTTTTTTGAAGCAAATTTAGCTAAAGTTTAATAGATACAAAATAACTACTCACAATGGTGAAGACTTTAATGAATAATCAAAAATTAAATGCATCATCTAATATTTTTAAAGGCCTATCATTTAGTTTAAGCTTCCTCAACTCTCTAGATAAAGGAAAAGATTCTGGGTTTTTAAGTTCTTCAAATAGGACTTCTTTGGAGGAAATGTGCTGTGAGCAACATGTAGGAATGTGTATTTGAGAGAAGCCCAGAATAACAGGAACTCTTCAGTCACTCCATGGAGAAGTCCCCCTATGGGAGGCAGTATAGCTCTGGGGTGTAGAAGCCTTGCAGCCAGACTATCTCCTTCAAATCCCAGCACTTCTACTTATTAACTATGTGACTTTTGTCAAGGTATCCTTTCTTTTCATCAGTTTTCTCAGTTATAAAATAGGGATGCTAATAGTATCAATCACACAGATATAAAGATCTTATAAAGGGGACAAAATAAGTCCACAATAAATATTAACTATTACCCTCTAACCAAAAATATATGTGTGTGTATGTGTATCTTTAGGAAAAGAAAAAGACATCTTGTTCATCATTTTCAGAGAGGCTGGGATGTGGGTAACGAAATAAGAAACTCAGTTTTCAAATCAGTGGTAAGGACTCCAGAAATGACTTCCTTACTCCTGCCTCTGCTAAAGATTTCGGGAGCATATATCCCTCTGCTGGGGTATTAGCATCCTGAGTCAGGCAGCAAGAATATATTATGCACCAACTGTATATACCAGGCTCTATGTCATGAAAAATAATAGCCTTATACTATTTATTAGCAAAGGTTGCCCAATCTTTGCTCCTGGCCACTTTTCTGGCCATCAGGGAGGGAAATGTGTCTTAATTTTCTTTAACCAAAGCTTCTCCCCTCCCCCATTCACACTAGGATATTACCTTTAGGGTATTTAAAGAGCTAACCAACCAACCAACAATCAAAAACTAAAGGACCACCCAGAGATGGTAATTTAAAAAGGATCAATTGGCAGCTAGTATTTCAACTGAAGAGCACAGAAGATGATTTCAGACCCACAGCACTCCATTCCCCCCAACAATGACACAAGAATGAGGCACAACACCTCTGCAGAAAAATCAGATAGATCTTTGGGGCTTTTATCTTCCGTAAAGAGTGACACTCCAGAAATGAGAGACTATCAGATTCTTACTCTTACGTGAATCCCCTTGAGATAAGTATTTTTAAAGGTTGTTTCTACATTAAGATTTAGATTGGTATTTACTCTGCCTTTTCAACTGTGTCTTTGGAACACTTGGCTCAAAATATCCTCCAGCAGTCTTCTTACTCAATTCCTTTATTTTTCAGCTCCTGCTTGACGCGTTTCAGATAATTAGGATCAGGATAACCATACCTGCAAAAGGAAAAGCCCCTTAGTTTCACACATGGTTTTAAAGATTCTGTATAGCAGGTCCCTGGCATTAACATTGTGTTGCAAACATTAACAAGCAATCCTGGAGGCAGATGAATTATAATCACTTGTAAGTGTGCAGATGTGAGTCATTCAGCTAGTGAGTGAGCCTAGCTGTCTGTCAGGGGTGGGCAAACTTTTTGACTCCAGGGCCACAATGGGTTCTTAAACTGGACCCGAGGGCCGGAACAAAAGCATGGATGGAGTGTTTGTGTGAACTAATATAAATTCAAAGTAAACATCATTACATAAAAGGGTACGGTCTTTTTTTTTTTTTAGTTTTATTCATTTCAAACTGGCCGGAGTTTGCCCACGGCTGGTCTAGGATCTGCCTCCCAACAAGACTTTTCATTTTCAGCTTGTGGTAAGCTGTGACTCTAATAAAGTTATACTATACTATAAATATATAAAAAATATAAAATATATTAAAAACATGTTATATAAAAAATATAGTGTAGTATATATTTTATTACATAAATATATCTATATATATTGTATATACTACCGGAGGATTTTCAAATTTGAGAATTTGCAAAAATCTCAGGACCCTTTTGAATATTAAGGATCTGAGATATTCTATCTGAATTTCACTAAGAACAATTGGGTTGCCTACAATACAACTTTCACAACATTAAATAAGAGCTTTTCTACGGTACTATTAGCCAAGTAAATTAAGAATCTCTATGGACCAATGGGAGGAGGGGGTGTAAGGATGATCTTAAAAGAAGGCAAAGTAAATAACATTCTTAGGATCGACCCTTCAAATAAACAGGAAACCTCAAATCAAGTCATCTGAGATATCATTGATCTTGGATTCTGAAGACCCTTGCCTTTCGATGCAAAATTTAGTAACTGTATGATACTTTGTGGTATCATACAGTTAGAAGGTGATGGGAACCCATCTTTCTGCCTTTGAGATTAACCTCTCTCAAAATACTGTACCCAATCACACTTCTATAAATAGTCCCTTACAGCCATATCCTCAAATTGCCATAGCTTACAACCTCTAAACTCTGTTTGGCAATCATTGTATTTCAAAATGCTCTCACATTGCTGGTCCCCCGGTCATGGAGGTTTTGTGGTGGATATCATTCCATGTAGTGACGTTTGATCTTCCTGAAACTCGAGAATCCCCCACTGTGAAAATTAGCTTTTGGTTAAAGGCCTTTTGAAGCAGTGTCAAAACCTCCTTCCCTTCCTCGTTAGCAGGTAAGAATGCAGTTCGCCGTGTTCCAGAATATGGCATTCCTGGGTTTGGGTGCTCTTTCTGTGTGAAAACAAAACAATGTCACATGAAAACACTCACGAGTTTAAATTTTACTGTACAAGATAGATGTGTTCATTTGCAAATAGAGTAAATAAAAAAACAAAAAAAGTATAGAAATTTTGCTCATATTCCCAATAATTCATATTTCTCCTCTTTCCCTAAATTCATGCTGGGAATACCATCCACCCTAACACATAATCACCACCCACCCCTCCTCTCCCTTAATAGACACAAAAGGTAAGTTCTAAGCTAACACTGTTAACTTCATCACTACTTAAAGCCTTAAAAATACGACCATAGAAGTAAGTCCCTGGGAAATCCACTAATTGGCAACAGTATTCTTTTGCCTTGGTAATCCTAGCACACTGGAAAGAAATACAGGGATCTGAGAAACACTTACTGTTTGTATGCCTCCTCTCATATCATATTTAATCACGATGGAGCCATAGTTTTCATAGCCTGGAAGTGAATCTCCAATGTAATCGACAGACATCGTTCCCTCTGGCTGGTTCCCTTGCTGGATACCATAAACAGTCTGGCACACAGGACAGACTGGCTTATATGTCATGGCTTTCTTGATACAAGGGGTGCAGAATTCGTGCTTGCACTTTGGTAACACTAGCTTATTATTAATGGGCTCCATACAAATGGCACACATATCCTCTTCCTTGTTCATTCCCGATGCCCCAGAAGTGGCAGAGCGCTGGGATGTTGGTAAAAATGTTTCTGAATTATTAATATCAACATCCATGGGTGTTTCATGATCCTCATTTGATTTCTCTCCAGCTGACGGGGACATGCCCCCTGTTTTTAAGACATGTTGTTTTGCCTTTGCGATGTGATTTGGCAATCCAATAAAAGTAATTGATCCTTGATTTGGCACGAAGTCTACATCTGGATGCCTTTTTCTAAAGTTATCAGCAAACTTGATCCCATATAAGTCCTTTCTCTCCTTGGCCAAAGGAACAACTTCTCTCATCAGCTGACAAGAAACATGCTGATAGGCATCAATGAAACTTGCATAAGCATGCACAGACAGATCTAACTCCTTGTCCTTAGGTTCAAATAGAATGCAGGTTTTATCACCTTTCCCCAAAATCTTACTTTGAGTGTTGTACTTTTTTTCTATCTCTGATATCTCCTGGAGTAATTCAGCTTCTAAAAACTTATAGTGAGCCGTGTCAACCTCAATTCCATTCATCATGCACGCAGGAGGCAATATTTTCACAGGTACCTTGGCAAGACTTTCAGAGATTTGGGGGGCAAGAAAATGTCCGGCAGCTGAAATGTCATCTTGGGTCCCAGGGAGAGGTAATTCTCTTTCGTTCTCCTTTATAAAAAGCTTTTTAAGTTGGTGATAAAATCCCTGATTGACTTTATTTGCCTGCTTCTTGTCTGCTAATGCAACACATTCCTGCTCCATATTTCCTATGCTTTTCTGAAATTCACTGACAAAAGTCTCTTCGGCTGCTCTGAGGTCACCTGATTGACTTGAGGTGAAGTATAAAGAGACCGTATTCGGAGAACTCTCCTGGCTTTTTATTTTTACACCAAATCTTTTCTCTATCGAGTTTATTGTTTCAGGGTAGATATTTTTGAAGTATTCAAATAAAGGCAAGGGAACTGTGTGACAACTGCTTTTTCCTTCTGACTTCGTTCTTGGTTCAGAGGGAGAAACATAGCTGTTCTGGTCCTGCTGATGGAGTGGCTCCCTCTCTGTTGTCAAAGGAGCTGATTCCTGTTTCTGCTCACTTTTTAGGAGTTGCTCACTCAAGAAGCCATGTATTTTTTCAATATCTCTGAAGTCACCACACACCTTCTCAATTCCATCACAGCCCTCCATTTTTCTGACATTGGGGCAAAGAGTGGTTATGTGTTCCCTCTGCTCTTTAGAGAACAGGTTACAGTTCAGGTCAGCTGTGACAGTAAGGAAGATCTGAAAATTTAAAAGGAACAAATGAAATCTTTCAGACATCCAGGCCTACAGTCTCTTCTAAGGAGAATGTCTAAAGACTAGAGAAATAAATACTATGTCCTCCCTTAGATTTGTTCTTTCAAATCCTTTTCACAGAGGATGGAGCACACTATAGCCCACACAGAGGTTCTCAGCCCTGTCTGCACATTAGAACCACCTGGGAAGTTAAAAGAGAGGGGAAAAAAACCCCCAAAACCCAAGACCTAGGCACATCTCCAGAGATTCTGATGTAAATGTAGAGCCTGGACATGAGCATATTTTAAAGGCTCTGTGGACAAGCAATCTGGATTCTGCCACTATCTGTTTGATGGAGGGAAGGCACTTTGTCTTTTCAGGCAAGCTGCTGTGGTTCTCACAAAAGAGTCTGTAAGCCAGAAAGGGACCCATAAATCTGAGGAGGATGTTTTTTCCTCTTACTGGTTTTTCTAGTCTTCAACCCCCCTCCTTTTTTTTTTTTTTTTAACTAAACACCTAAGAGCATGCAATGTTGCTGAGTCCTCTAAACCCTAGCCTTTAGTAGCTCAAGTATAAGGCAAGCACAACAAATTAGGCTAAAAAAAAAATATATACGCAAATTAAATGGAATAAAAAAAAGCAAGATTCCTAATATTTTGTTCCCCTTCAAGGTCTTTGCACATGCTATTTCCTCTGCATGTACCATCCTCTTTCTAGATCTTCCTTTAAAATGTTTACTGAATCTAGCCACTTCTTACACCTTGATCAGAACCAGCTGAAGTTCAAGCCATTCTCACTTTGCACTTGGCCTACAGCAACTCCTCCTAATTGGGCTCTGACCTTCCACTCTAGCCCCTTTCAAAAATCAGTTATCCACGCAGCAGCCAAAGTGATCCTTGGGTCACTGTGGGTCGCGATCCCTTTGGGGGTCAAACGACCCTTTCACAGGGGTCGCCTAAGACCATCCTGCATATCAGATATTTACATTACGATTCATAACAGTAGTAACATTACAGTTATGAAGCAGCAACGAAAATAATTTTATGGCTGGGGGTCACAACATGAAGAACTGTATTTAAAGGGCCAGAAGGTTGAGAACCACTGCTTTAGAGACATGAATCAGACCACTCCACTCCCAAGGCTCAAAACCATATGATGAATCCCCTAACATTTAAGTGAAAATCCAAAGTCCTTACTTTCATCCCCAAAAACCTGACTTCTGGTTACCTCTCCAAGTTCCTCTCATATCACTCTCTCCCTTGCTCACTGCCCTCTAGCCCACTGGCCTCCCTTCTTGAAGCTTCGGGGCTCAGGATGTAAGCTCCCATCTTGAGGCCTTGGTTCTTGTGCTCCCCTCTACTTAGAACATTCTTCCCCCCAATATCCACTTAGCTAGCTCCCTTACTTCATGCATGTCTCTACTCAGATGTTACCTCATTCAAGAGGTTTTTCCAGATATCCCAAAGTAGTGGTCTTGTCACTGTCATTTGCCCTGCTTTATTCTTCTTCCTAGCACTTATCACTGTCAGACATCTATAATAATAAAAGTGTAACATGCAAATCGACTGAACGACCCAACAGCAGACCATCAGGACGACCACACTATGACACACACCGGTGACAGGCCAGCCAAGGTGGGTACAATGCGATTGGTCTGGGGGCCCCACCATCACCCCACCATCACCCTGCAGGGAGAGGCCCAGGCAAAGCGATCGATTTGGGGGGTAGGGGAGGCTCTGAGATTGCCCCAAAGAGGGAGGCCCAGGCTACCCTCTGTACAGCGATCAATCGCAGAACCCCGGTCGGGTGAGCGATTGCTCCAAAGAGGGAGGCCCAGGCTACCTGACTGGCGGCACTGCGGTGGGTGGGCAGGGCCTCCCTCTGCAGGGAGATCAATCTGGGGCCCCCAGAGGGAGGCCCAGGCCACCAGCCAGCAACGCTGTGGCGGGTGTGCAGGGCCAGCCAGCAATCACCCCACAGAGGGAGGCCCAGGCCAGCCAAGCAATCGCACTCCATGCCTGTCACCTGCAGAGGGTGGCAACCAGTGGCGGGGAGGGAGGAGACAGCACCGCACAGATGGCAAGCAGTGGCAGCAGCGGGGGCAAGGCCAGCTGCTGGCAGCCAAGGGAAGGAAAGCCCCAAAGGCCCTGATCACTGGCCAGGCCTAGGGATACTACCCAAGGGGTCCCAGAATGTGCAGGCCGGGCTGAGGGAACCCCCCCATGCACGAATTTCGTGCACCAGGCCTCTAGTTTTATTATAAATCTACTAGAGGCCTGATGCATGAAATTTGAGCACAGGTAGGGTCCCCAGGCCTGGCTGGTGATCAGGACCTTTGTTCGTTCCACACTACCCCCCGGTGGTCAGTGCACGTCATAGCAGGCAGTCGAACTTCCGAGGGGACAATTTGCATATTAGCCTTCTATTATATAGGAAGATTTGTTTACTATTAGGATCTGTATCCCTCACTAGAATGTAAGGTCCCTGAAGGCAGGGTCTGCTATGTAGCTAGCTGGGTCCCCAGCTTCTGTGACAGTGCCTGGCACACAGCAGGCAGTTGATATTGACTTGTCAAATGACTCTTGGCATGGCTAGCTCCTTCTCATTCAAGTCTCAGGCCAAATGTCACCTCAGAGACTTTGTCTCTGACTCCTGGTCAGAAGTAGCAAGACCTCCTTCCCCTTCCTCATCCTGGCATACATTACCATCTAAAATTGTCTTCTTTATTTGGTTTACTTGCTTATTGTCCTTTTATGTAGTGCCCCCCCCCCAGTAGGGACTTGTTGTCCTCTGGGTCCCAGTGCCTGAAACAGTGCCTGGCTCATAGTAAGTGCTCAGCCAATGGTTGTGAGACAATAATGAAATATATGGTGACTGGAGAGGAAGTTGCAAATACATACCTAACTCCTTTCCATACCCACCTTTTGGACACAGGAATCCACAGAATGAGGAATATGTTCATTTGGATGCTTCTCACCAGACCTTGCCCCTTGTGACTGTGTTTGCACTTGAGACATTCCATTCTTCTCTACTGAATTTTCAGTGCGTTCCAGGGAAATGGTCACAAGTTTGTCGTCAACCGGAATTTGGTGCTCTCCTTTTTCCAACACTCCCTTCTTAGCTTCAGTGGAGACATTAAACACACACACAAACAAGGGAGTGATGTCAAACAATCCTTTATTCAGGCACCTGTACCCTGCCCAAACACCCTCCCAGTGAGGGCTGCTCCCTGCGTGCTGGGAGGGTTTATGTTAGGGAATGTGAGGGAACTATTCAAAACTCTCACATGGGCAGCTTCGATTTTCTTGCACAAATGAAAGCTCAAGGCTAATAAAACATTGACAACTCGTGACAAGTCATGTCTCTGAAACTGTCTCGGGTTCCTTTTTCAATCAGATGGCATAGTACTCATATAAAGTGGACTGAAAAAAAACAACAGGGAGTCAGCAGTGCAGACTCAGAATTTTGTAAATATACATGTGTGTACTGACATTTATAGAAAAAGGCTGGAAGAAATATAGCAAAATGTTCACATTGCTTATCTCCAGGTGGTGTTCTTTATTCTTTTCTTTCTCTTTTCTATGGTGGGCATATATTATTTTTGTAATCCTCAAACATAATCAACGGAATAATTATTTGAAACATAACAGTGGAATATCTAAATGGCGAGGAGCCAGAGGCCTGTGGGGGACGGCAAGGTGTTAGAGCTGAGAAAGATGAGTCAGGGCCAGGATGCTGGGAGGTGTCAAGGGTAAGGTGCAGTCGGGCCAGATCAGCGACCGGGCACCTCTGGGCGCTATCCTCGCGTGGGCTGGTCGCTTGGCAGCAAGAGACCCCAGTTCCCGTCCCCCCACCCCCACCCCGAGACTGTGCCATGCTTTCTCCCGCCCTTTCCCCTCGTCGGCTCGCTCTGGGTCCGCCTGGAACCCCATGAGGCTGGGCCCCAGGGACGGCCTTTGCAGACCCAGCCCCAGCCCCAGGCCTGCGGCTCACCTGCCCGGTCCAAGAACTCCACCCGGAAGGCGCCGGCGCCCAGGTCTCGGACCTTGCACTCCCCGCCGCCCGACTGCCGGCTCTGGAAGTAGCCTTCCAGCTTCCGACGTAAGTTTAAGTTCAGGCCGGGCTCCGACACCCGCACCAGCAGCGGG